AGTGTTAGATGTCAGTGATAATTTTTGTTCATGTATGTTACATAAATATCAAATTTCAACGAAGTATTGGTTTTAATACTGCGTGCAACTAGAGTTAGAAAGTACTGGGGCAGTTTGTGAAGACAGGTAGCTAAATAAAATTGAAAATATTGAAATAATGGCAAAGGTCTCATAAGTAGATTTTTTAACATGAAAATTCTAAATTATTAGAATTTTAGTATGGTTATTTAAAAATATAAAATACCTAATGGTCATATCAGAGAGTATACATATATACACAGACTGAGGCAGATGCAGAGGGCTTGTTAGCCTTCTCCATTGTACCATTTTCATGCAAGGAATTACCTGGTGAGCACTAATGCCAGAGGCATTAAGTTCATGCAACAGATAATGTTACAGAAGAATCTCCCTTAATTCCAAAAAAAGCATACACATAATAAAGGGCTCTAGTGTCCTTCAGGAGACAAAATTCAGGCATGAATGGAAACAAAGATGCCTTGATTTCTTCTGCTTCTCATTGTGTTTTATTAGATGCAGCTTTCTGACATAAATGAGGTTAGACATGCACAAACACTGCACTGGGGCTGAGGCAGTTTCACCTCTGCACCACCAAAAGGGGCTATTTTGCCGCTTTTCATCCACAGGATTGGAGCACAACTGCTGGCACAATCCGTTGATTTAAGTAAGAGAAAACTAATCCCTCCAAATAGTTCTACGATTACATTCTGCAGGACTAGTTTTCCCAAAAGGCTCAACATGGTGTCAGACAAGCATCAGGGAGATAATAGAACTTGTGTTCACAGGAAAGGGAAGAAGTGTATTGAGGCTGCCTATATTTACACTACCGTACAATCAAGTTGGGGTATTTTAATTCTGAAGTGTTGTATCCATGCTGTTACATGATCTGTAGTGCTGGCGTGTTGCACTTACTTTAATCAGCATGGTATATTTGGTCAAGAGATATTTCTTTTCCTAGAGGAAGAATTCTCTGATCATAAAGTTAGTCTGAATTACATTGGAAATTTTAATGGCTGAATGTAAAACACTAAAACAACCTGAACCAGAAGGCCCTAAATTCAGTGGCCAGACCTCCTTTACTGAAGTAAAACAAAGAAAGAAATAAATAGTCCCAGACTGCTGAGATATGAACATTTTCATTGCAAGCTACTGTGAGAAGTCAGGGAATTCTAACCAAGCCAAACCAAAAACCCTACCGAAATTAAATAAAAATAGTTCCTTAGAAAGTTCTTATTCTATTTGGGGAAGAAGTTGATGCTAAAATGTCAGCTAAAAAGGAAGAAGCTGTTAGATTATCAGGGTCTGTTGAGTCTGTGCTTTATAAGACAGAATAAGCCCTATCCTAAAGCCAGCTGAGGAACAGTCAATTGTGCTCGTGAATGGATGTGTGGGCACAATCCTCACACTGGTATAATGTGTTTATGTTGTGGTAATAGTAAATGTTTGTAAATGAAAATGTATTAAATGCATTAAAAAAATGTCTTACATTTCTCCCTCAACATGAAAAAAACAGATAATTGAGCCTTCCTTTCAAGTGAATCATTTACTGTATGTGTTTCTGTATGTACATTGTTTGCTTATCATCTTAAGAAAACTATATTGCATGGGTAGAGGGACCTAGACCGTGTTTTGTCTGCGTAGTGCTATATGACTTTTGCCTTGGTTCATGATTTGAGCACATGTGAAATAACAGTATTGCTTTAAGTACTATTTGCAGAGGAGTCCACTGAAATGAGTAAATTAGTTTATTCTTCAGGGATATAGCTTCAAGTTCTCTGCATTTCTTATACACTTTTCTAAAGATTTTCTTAATAGGCATAATAGATGGTGTGGGTTTTTTTATCAATAAAAATAGAAAGGTCTGTTCCTAAGTGCTTGTAAAGCTGTGTAAAGGGACGTTGGAGTTTGGGAACTCTGCTCTATAGATGGTATTCAAAAGTAGACTGCAAGGGTGTAACGTATTCAGTGAGCAAACACAATTCTCTTCTGTTACTAGAGTAGTGAAAACCACAAAGCATGTTCTTGAAATAATCTTCTTCCTTAATTTTTGCCTTTCAGAATGGATAAACTCTGCACTTAAAGGGTGCATCTCAGCTGTTACACTTGTCTAAAGTTAGAGATCTACAGGTATAGCTTAATGATCATTTCTTTTGCAGCCTTATGGCTTACATCTTTAAATTAGAGAATTTCTAATGCTGCGGCCTGGCAGGTTCAATTGGACGGCTGAGGTGGTGAATGAGAAGCAAGACTAGGGACACAGAATGGGGTGGCTTAATCTGGCAGAGCAACAACAAGAAATGCTTGTCAAACTGCAGCGTGAAGCTGTTGTACTAAATGTTTATAGTCAATGGACACTGCAAGAGGTGATCCAGCTAGTTTAGGAATAGAGGACTTACCTTTGGAACTGTTCTCATGATTAATAAAAGGTAGTTTTAAAAGCAAGGGGTAGGAGAAATGTCTGAACTTCAGGGGCAAAGTATTACTTTTTCCCCGTTGGGCTAAAAAAAACTCCTTCATTGTGATTTATTCACACCTACTCAATTAAAAAACTAAAGGAGAAAACTGGTCTGGGTTGGAAACTTTCATTTTCTGTGTCTATAACAGTGTTCATTAAAATGGACCAGTTACAGCCTCTTGCACTAAAAGATTACACTGGAAACAAGATTAGAGTCTAGTTGTGCCAGCCATCACGGTTAGGAGGACCATGGTAGACATAGAATCATAGAATCATAGAATAGTTAGGGTTGGAAAGGACCTTAAGATCATCTAGTTCCAACCCCCCTGCCATGGGCAGGGACACCTCTCACTAAACCATATCACTCAAGGCCTCATCCAACCTGGTCTTGAACACCACCAGGGATGGAGCATTCACAACCTCCCTGGGCAACCCATTCCAGTGCCTCACCACCCTAACAGAAAAGAATTTCCTCCTTATATCCAATCTAAACTTCCCCTGTTTAAGTTTTCACCCGTTACCCCTTGTCCTGTCACTACAGTCCCTAATGAAGAGTCCCTCTCCAGCAGCCCTATAGGCCCCCTTCAGATCCTGGAAGGCTGTTATGAGGTCTAAGAGAGAGGTCATGATATTGTTATCACTCTTAGCTGTTGAAAGAAATATGAGAAGGTAAAGATATTGACAAGTATCTCAAACTGTGCATATGAAATCATGTGTGATAAGTTATAGACATAACTTATCAGAAGTATTTCAGAAGTACCCAAAAACTATCTTTGCATTATTGATGCTGATCACTGCGTCAGGCTGAGACTCAAAATTTCAACCCTGAGTTTCTGTTAGTTGGTGGTTCAGCTGCATGGGGCCCAGCACAAAAAGTAAAATATTCATCAAATGAAATTTTCTTCCCTCAAAATGCTGACTGCAGTTGTTTGGTGTTGTGAATGTCTAGAAAAATATATAGAGCACGCACAGCAAAAAAGTTCACAACCCTTGTCTTTGCTCACATCCATTCTTATCAGATCTCAGTGAATAGAACGTCCTCTCTGACTTAATGTTTTGCCTGCAAAATACTAGAATAGTTTGTGTTTCAGGGACCAATTTCTTGGTGAATGCAAGATTTTTCTGAGCATCTTGTGGTTTGGTGAAGTCTCGTCCCTCATCTTCCCCTTCCTTCTTTGGACTCATCATTTATCTGATTAGGGGAAAAAGAGCCTATGTGATGACTTCTGGTTGTTATGCAGTGGAAATCATCCAGCCTCTTCCCCCCTGGCCTGTGTTCCCAAGGAGCCACCAATTACAGAGTCTGAGTTTCAACTCTCCTCATAAATCAATCCTATTAAAATGTGATGTAATTTCAGTCCAAAGTATAGCTTTATTGCATTTGATTATTAATAATTGTATCAAAATGATAATTTTCTCTTAAGTATTTTAATAGGCTTTTTTAATATCTGCATCCAGCTGCACTTTATCAATCAATGTGTCTCCTTTGCATATCTTCAGCTCACATCTGCTGACTCAATGGACTCTTACCATGCCTGTGAAGAGCGATGTGGTTGTGCTAGTGCGGCTGGATTCTGCTTTACTTAGTGACAGAACAGCTGTCAGCTCAAAACTTTCTTTGCAGAATCTGCCCAAATAATGATGATGGAAGGGCCAGAAAAAAAGTGTAGCTGGGGCTGCCATCCCCAAGTAAGGATGGAAGAAGCCCCGAGGGTAGAAAACTCATCTTTTGGCTTTTATCTTATATTGTCTTGGCTTATATCGTCTTTTGAGTATATTTGACGTGGGAAATATTATGAGAAAATCAGCCTGTATTCCCATTGCACCTTTCCTTTCCTTTCCTTTCCTTTCCTTTCCTTTCCTTTCCTTTCCTTTCCTTTCCTTTCCTTTCCTTTCCTTTCCTTTCCTTTCCTTTCCCTTCCCTCCCCTCTCCTCTCCTCTCTTCCCCCTTCCCCTTCCCCTTTTTCTTTATCAGTGGAATCTTCTCTTGAATATGCTAACCAATGATTTTTTATGAAAGCTTTTTTTATGAAAGCATTTTTGTTATGAAAGCTTCATGGCAAGTCTAAGATATTTCTAATAGGAATGGAATCTCAGTCTTTTTTAACACTAAATCTGCCTTGTAGTCTCAGATGTCAAACGTAATTGTAAAAAGATGCTCTTGCTCTTGCCAGTCACTGAATGTATGTGTGTATCAGTACGTGTATCTATATCTCTCAATACGTTTCTCAATTTATGAAGTTTTGTTTCCAATTTTGTACCTATTTAATTCCTCCAAGTGATCCTATCTTTTATATATATATTTTAGTAAAAGAGATTCTGATAAAATTTGGGAAAAAAATAATGTCAAGTACAGAAAAAAATAGTTTCCATCTAGATATTAGTAATAGGACATTATAAATGAGGTTTATTTTAATTTCCTAGCTAGAATGTTAAAGCTGGTTAGTATGAAATCCTCTTTTCTTTCATCCACATAATTACTATTCTGTAGCTGGCTCTGCATAACTTGATTATATTATGTTCTCAGGGCTGTTGCTGGAGTTGACGGAGACCCTGATTTAGTTCATATGGAAATCCAGGACCCCAGTGGAGGTATGCAAATGAAAATGTTATTATCAATTGATACCCTAGTGTATAGTCATTTCTCTTTGGTTTAGAGCATACTTTTTGGATAGTTTTTAAACCTAGTCAGAAGAGGAACTGTGCAAGTCAGATTCATTCTCTTTTTATCTGTAGTCAGCAAAGCTGTCCCGTTCTATAAAAATATAGTATAATTTCAAATTTACTTGTTTTCCACTCTAAGACAAATTGACGTCAAGATGCTATGCTCTGTTGAAAATGTCCATTAATAGTGCAATTTATTCTGGCAGTTAAACATTGAACATTTTATCCTGATTTGAAATAAAACTGGCAATGCAGTGTTAGTGCTGGGTAAGGGTTTGTTAAAGTGAATGGTTGCATGTGCCAGTCCGTCTGCGCTAACCACCATCTCCCAGAATTTCTTCATGTTACAGTATCCATTTATTTTCAAGAGGAAAATAAATGAAAAAGAGATTAGCAGTCAGGATGTGCTGTGCTAAAGAGTCACCACGTTTCCAAAAGCTTGTACAGCTTCTTGTTACCAGCTGTACTCTTGACAGATAATTGAATTCCTTGAATAAGATCATCTAAGTTTTTGTGCACTCTTACAAATGAGTTGTAAAGAATGCACAGTTTGACTTTCCCCAATCCAGAAGGTTTTCTTCATTTCAGTCCTATTAAATAAATCAAAGGTACCATGTTAAAATTTGGATGGCAAGGTTTCTAAATCTTTTAGCACTGAGATTTCCGAGGCATAGTGACTCCTACACAGCCCCGTCAGTTGCTCTGTTTAGAGACAGTGTAAGAAGATACTTCAGGAGTTGGATGGAAAGTATCTTTTTTATTGAACAGAAACAGCATAAAAATTAAAAATCTCATAACTGTCTGCTGGCTGGGTTCTCAACAAATGCATTTTGGGCACTTGTGTGCAGTACATGCACTGATTAGTGGAAAGAGCTTCTTTGTGCTACCTATCTGATGAAGAGCTGTGGCCCTTGTCATGTGTATTATGAATAACTACAAGACTTTTTGATGGCCCATTGTTGTGCTTGCTCAAATATCCTCGTGGTGATGATTTGGACATAAGCAGGAGAACTTAGATTGACTCTGGCTGCCTTTTTAATAGATACAGATTTTAAAAGCAATATTTGTATCTAGTATACTGGATTAGCATTTTCTAATTAAAAGTCATAAAATGTGGAATGCATTTCCTATCACGCTGCAAAAATAATGAAGGATACAGGGATGCATTATTCACTCCATACTGTTTCTGGAGCATGGGGAAAATTGGTGATCTGGATGCAGGATTGTGTATATAACATTTTTCTCACTGCGCTTCGGAAAGTCACTCAAGTACTTTGTGCTCTGAAGCTTGTGACAGAAGGTGAGCTGTACAAGGAGCTTGCATCTAGGAGAAGGTCTCCGGGCCACAGCTGGTGTAAGGTGTGATTATTGGCTCTGCTCTCTCTGATAAGAGCATTGTGCATCAAAGAAGCGGTGATGCTGTTCTGACAGCCCAGGCAGAGAGGATATTCCTCCCCCATTGCTAGCTGAAGAGGAAGACAGAGGCCATAGCCTCCACTGATATAAATCAGTCCAGGCTTTTTCAACAACGTATTAACTCTGAATATAGAAGTCTTGCCCCAACAGAGCAGTTCTAGTGGTCTGTTAAAAGCGTGTCTTAACTTTCCTACAGAGCTTTGAAAATAGCCTTTAAAATTCTGCATGCTGTCTGTTAAATGGAGTCTGATTCTCCTCTCGCTCATCACAATTTTATAACGTGGTTGATATATTGATTTCAGTTGTGTTGTGTCAGGCTGCTCTTTCTCCAAGTGAATAATACGTCTCTGTGCATAGGTTAAGTGAGAAAAGAGGCTCCTATTATCCCCACCCATGAATGTCTCATTCATCTAACCCCTAATCTCTCTGGACCAGCAAAATTTGGATAATAACAGGCTGCCTTCCAGGAATGATCTGAAGTGTAAGCAGTTAATATATTCTCAGTACATTGGAGATTGAAAAACTCTTGTATGAGGGTTTAATATAATAATTTTACAACTAACTCACCTGGCAAAGGCAGCAATTCTCCTACATGAATAACATTTTATACTGCTTGCTTCTTTGTCCCTTGATAGCCCTGTCATATGTTTCTGTCTCTGTTCCCTCAGGTTATCGCTACATCACTTGCCAGATTCAGAATTGCTCTGATAAGACAATGACAGTCCAGTTTGCTGGTGGCACTGATCGGGATTCCCTAACTGTGCAGGATGACTACATATTTCTTCAGGTACTGCCATGTCTTGGAGACACAGCCTATTTTAAAATTCAAAATTAAAATCTTATACAATGCAGCTACACTGTAATTTAGTAGCATGGAGAAACCTGCTCCAGAGTAAAAATGATGATTGATAAATTTTTACATGGAGCAAAGCATTTGCTTATCAGTCAAAAAATCCAAAGCCTCTTTAGGTTGTGCAACCATTTGCCTATTTATCTGATTGATTTTGTCACTGACTTAGCTTTAATGGTATGAAAATTTCCAAGTGGATTGTGTGGGTCAAAGTTACTTTTTGTAAATATGTTTGTGTTTTAGGCAAAGCACAAGCCTTTTGTTCTTATGCTTGCAACCTCTTCTGGGTCCTTTCCAGTACTGCCATAGTACAAAGTTCTCTGAGAAAAGCATCCAAGGAAAGCTACTGAGAGAATGGCTTCTTCTTATGGATTGATTTTGCTGGGAAAAATCTTACATGGGTGTGCTTAGAAAGCAAAAGAGTGAAATGGCCATAGCTGAGGAGCTTAGAGCAACTAAGAATAGTCGTAGAATCATTTAGGTTGGAAAAGACCCTTAAGATCATCGAGTCCAACCATAAACCTAAAGCTGCTAAGTCCACCACTAAACCATGTCTCTGAACACCATGTCTGTACCTCGTGGTGGTCCAGATCACACTGGGACTATTTCATTCCCAAACTGCAGGATCTGCATGCAGAAAGCTGGGCTGGAACTCTTGTCAGCTTCATAGCACCAATACAGCTCAGGCACACCTGAAAATGTTAGAGTATGTGCTTAGGACTCGTGATTTGAATCTGTCAGAGCTACAAACTTCTTGAAGAATAGTTATGTACGCCCTGTTTTTGTAAGATTTCATAAGGGAAGTTGCTTGTGCTTTCCTTAGTGGTTGGCTCTCATTTTTCCCTTACTTTGGTATGATTTGCTTGTTGCAAGGCTTGTCTACTTGCTGACTGTTGTGGAAAAGCAATATCATGGCGAAGAATAGGTCTCCCCACCACTGCCATGGTGTAGAGAGATTGGCATCTTTGCATCTTACCCCTCTTGTGGCTGTTTCTTCTAAAAGGATGTGTAAATTAATAGAGACACAAAATATGTCTTCCTCTTTTTTGGCGCAGAAGTTTCAAGGGCCCACATGGTTTAGAACATTTAGCACCAGAAAGAAACAGAAAAATGGACTTGGGAAATATTTTTTGAATAAAAGTAAGCATTTTTCAGCCCAGGTCTAGCACTTGTGGGACTTGTTTTCCTCAAAGGTATTTTTATTTGTGGCTCCCTCCCAGACACACTGTAAAATCCATTTCACGGTGTGTAGATGGTGTGAAGTGCTTCTAACCTTGTGAACTTCCCAACTGCTGTGCTCAGCAGAACACTGGCTGGTTCCTCTTCAAGCATTTGTTTTGCCAGATGCCTTGTATAATTTCATCTCGAGCTGTTGTTATCCTGTCTCATGCCAGGCATGGGCAGACACAAAATGGAAGTGCAATCTGGAAAGGTACATATAAAAGTGTAGCCAGTGGCTACTACCAGAAGGGTGCCATTGTTAATGTAGTCTCCTCAGATCTGAGACATGTTGAGGCCAGTAAACGTAATTTGTATGTATTCCACATAAAGGGGAAATATCTCTAGTCTTTTTCTTTCAGACTTATCTGCAGTATGTAACAAAAATTTGATGGTAAATTGGTTTACAGTTATCCATATCTATATTAATGGAGGATAGAAAATAACTCTAGGATCTTACAGTCACATCTGAAGTGCGGCCACCCCTGAGGTGTGATGCAGAACCCTACTTGCCTGTTCCAGTGAAACCACACAGCAGCTGCGCGTCTGACAAACAGCACACTTTTGAAATCACGTGGCAATTCTTTTATCACTAGACTAAAATATTGCTATATAAGTTAGAATATTGCTTTATAAGTTAGACTAGGGACTTCTCTAAATATCACAGCAATATCTGTCAGAAAGAAGATGGAACAGAGTCACCTGTGAAAAAGAGAGCACAGTCTGAGACTGTCTTATTGTCCCTGGCATTGCTCACATCCCCTGAGCTGCGCAGCTGTGAATTAGTGCTGCAGGTCTGCATTGCTAATCCTGGCCCAAATCTCAGACTTTCATGATCTTAAAGGAAGATCTCAACCCTGTTTCTTTAGTATGTCTATACCCATGAAGATCAGGAACTTTCTAATAGTCATTTCCAGTTTGCATTGACAGTCAGACAGATTCAGAGGTGATTTCAGTAGGAGGATGAAAGCTTCGACACTGTTTTTAAGCACACACCAGCCTTTAATGTCAGTGAGACTAGACACGGCTTGCTGCTTCAGCTCTGATTCTCTGCTGCCTTGCATCATCTTGAGTCATTTAAAATGAATGACATTAAGAAAGCTCATAATGAACAAAAAGGCTATGGAAAGATGGATAAGACTTCTATTTAACACTAATTAAATAAATGGTGAGGTTTTTGGTTTAATCCATCATTTACCAAATCACATTTCTAAAGGGCATCGCATACTTTCTAGCACAAAACCAGAAACTGATCTAAAGAAAGAGTGAAAATGATTACAATAGTAAATTCTTTGATATCTTTAAAATATTCAGTCAGGTGGACCTGCTCTCATGCATCAACTCTGTTTTTGCTAAGTGAAGACAAGTTTACATGCTTCAGGGTAAGCTGTCTTCCAAATCAGGTTCCCTTTCTAAACACAAAAGTTGAAGAGAAAAGCAGTGAGATTGGAGTAGGATTTTAAATGGATTTCCTATGTCAGAGAAAGAAGATGAGTCTGTGCTTCTGTTCCACAATCTGATTTGTCACGGACAACCAGAGAAAAAATTTGGACATTTCATTTCACTCCTTCCATTTTCTTTTTTGACCCATGTGTTCCTGCCAGGAACCTACCCTTTGTGAATTTAGGGAAAATGACTGAATAGCCAATACCCAGTGATCTGAGGGAAAAAAAAAACATGAAAAATAGTGTGATATTATTTACCAAAGGCTAAAACCTTTGCTAATTTCATCTGATGGTGCTCAAGAGACTTAACTGGAAATGTGCCAATGTATGTACAACCACAGATTTTGACGTTACGTTTCTGACTAGAAAAACTTAGTGAGGCTGTTGGTTGAGTATTTTCATCGATGTTAATTAGAATCATCCTTTTGGTACTTTGGAACAATATTTGCAGTGGAGGTTTTTTACAAATAAGGTAAAAGTCTTAACATGACCAATGTGTCTGCTATTATAAAGAGGAGAAATGGGTAAGATTCATGCAGCGGTGTACCTTTTAATGCATATTTCTGTTGGCTTTCTTTAGTGAAAATCTTCATAAGCCCTCAAGTATTTTTTGTAAAACCTAATTTGTCTTCAGTTACACATGTGCAAGAATTTGAAATACATGGTTTACCTCTCTAATTAAGCATATAATTGTGTCTTCAGGATATATTGCTGACTTTCAAACTGACTGACCAATGTATTCAGAATTGCATCATTATCTTCCACGGGACATGTCAGCATCTTCCACTGGCAAATGTTTTACCCTGTACAGAAAATCTTAGTCAAATACAGTGAATTATTTACATACTGTTAGTGTGAATTTATTTAGCCTTTTGTGTTGTGCTTTGAATTTTGTTGCTAGAATACCACTTGCCCTTGAGGTACCTGGTTTTCATGGACTGTGTGCCTCTTCCCTACCTCTTCCCTGGAGGGTGCTGCTCTCTGGACTTCTATGAAAGGGCAAAGATGTGGGAGGCCAGTGGGTGCAGATATACGAGTGAGGACTGGGGCAGTGAGATGCAGAAGTCTCAGGTATCGCTCAAGACAGCTGAAATGGCAAAAGAGGGATTTAAATCACTTTTGTCTTCCTTAAAAGGAGGAGAGCAAAAGAGTTTGAGTCTGTTTGGGGTCTATTCTGTCACAACTTCAATTCATTCTCTTAAGAGTACATTGTGCAAATTCATACCATGTAATAAAAATAATAGCCATGTATTTCAGTTGCAGGGTAGAAAGTCTGCAGGTTAGAGAGTCTTCCATCTCAGACTCTTTAGATTTAACATAAACTATCAGAGAGTTCAATTTTTTCCTTTGTTATAGACAACATCAGCAAATCGGACCAAGTATTACGTCTCTTACCGTCGAAATGGCTTTATACAGATGAAGTTGCCAAAATATGCATTGCCAAAAGTAAGTATACAAATTTTTCTTTCTATTTATACATTTGTCATCATCTCCTTCTGCCTAAACTAGTTTTGTTCTTTCCTTTTTAAACTTCGTTATTCTGAGATCACAGTTTCCCTTGTAAGGATTTCTGAATCCTGATTGTGGTATATTCTCAAATCTACTGTTCTTATTTCTAGCAATGTAGTAGCTCATAAACTATAGAGGGTAAGAACATATGCTAGTTTATTTGTCATAGCAGTTTCTGAACTTTGTTTCCATGAAGCAGAGCTGCACACCCAATGGCAATGTAATGATTTTGAGTGAGTGATCCGTCAAGAATCAATTACAGTTTAATTCCACGTGGTGCTATCTGGTATAAGCATGAACAGCAATATAAAGAGAATTTTACCAGTTGATGGTGCTCTGTTTCATTAAAGAATCCCAGTTTGGACTTTAATTACTTAACAAAACCACAAGAATTGTTGAGAGGTTCATTCAGTCTGGCATATTTTTATAGCGACAGGGTTTCTGTATTTGCACAGTAAATTAGCATTAAAGCACAGACAGATATTTAGGGATGGTCTAATTGATTAAATTGAAATTTTGTGTTGCACGCTGTTTGTTTCCTAACTTTATTTATAGTCAGAAGGCTTCTGTAATCCTGAACTGAAATGACTTGGAAGTTTTAAAGACCCAGCTGGATAAAGACCTCAGTAACCTGGTCTGGCCTTGCATCCCAGCATGCTCCTGAGGTTCCTGCCTTTTCATGTGATACTGTGTGATTCTGTCGCTTACTTAGCAGAGAGCTAAGACATGTTCTCTTTGCATGTCTCAAATTGCACAGTTTTAATTCATTGCTCATCTAATGAAAGACAGGGGTTATTGTTGATATTGTTCTAAAACAAAGAATGTGCTTAATAGGGTTTTTTTTCATCTTTGATTTCTCTTTTTTTTTAGTCAAAATGGACCAACTGAAATCTGGTTTTAAATATAGAGCATATCAATAAAATCCTTAAATCAAATCCTCATATATTAGTTGAACAAGAATATGAAATTAGGGTATTCTACTAGCACTACAGATGTAGCTTTATATTTATCTGACTATTTTGACAAGAAATAGATAGCTAATGATAGGTAAATAAATCAACTCTTCCACATAATTATTTTAGTGTTTTAAAGTCCTTCACAGTAGCCTTTATGCTTTCTCGGGAAGAATTTGTATTTGGGAAGACAGCAGGAGAATATTCATTTTTAAATTTTAAAACGTGCCAAACATGGACATTCCAAGAGACCACAGCCCATGTATGACCCATGCTGGAGTCGAAGAAAATAAGAAAGGGGCAAGGGAGAAAGTAAAGAATGAGCAAGGAGCAGCAGAAAGAAGCCCTTCTGCAGATGACCCCTGCACAGCACATTGCCTTACTGAAGGAGCTGGAAGGAAACAAATTAAGACAAGGTGAAAACAGGGAGTCAAGAGTAGCAGTGGGGGAGAAGAGGCATTTGATTAAGCTGAGCTTAGAGAAGGGGAGGAAAGATGTTTCCGTAAGTGATTTTGATCCCTTTTTTTTTTCTCAATGCACAAATTAGTGATGTAAAGTGTGTGTTAACTGGCAGTAACTTTAATCAGGTAACATTCCCCAAGCTGCCCATGGCAAATTTCCTGAAGGAGTGCCAGCACATTAGTGCAGGTGTTGGCTGTGCTTTGTGTGGGAAAATATTGCGTGTTGGGAAACAGCAGGGCAGAAATTTTGTAAGATAGACCAGGTTTCTGGATGGCCTGTGGAGGAGGAATCTGCACCTTTCCATTGCAATTGCCCTCTCACACCCAGTAATCTGCTGCATTTGACCAGGGCAGCACTGTCCTTTCTGATTCTGCTGTCACATAGAAGATGAATATGCTAACTCAGCCTTTCTGGAGTTGTACAAAGTGTTATGATTATGGATGTTATAGATGATAGTTCACATTCCATGCGGGAGTGATTACTTCAAGCATGCGGGAAAGTATATTATTTTTAACAAGTTGGATGTGTATTATACCTCCTTAATGACACATGCCTCTGATTTAAATATCAGTATCACAGCACACTGTATTAATAAAGGGCATGTTATTTGGGTTCAGATCTAGTTGTCTGACAGATCAGAATGAATCGGTGGAGGCTGCCAGAACGCAAGAACTATAAAACTGTTGTCCTTATAGGCATCCACATTTGTAATAAGTGAACTTGTGTCAGTTGTGAAGAAGAGCAGCAAATATTATGCGAGGGCTGGAAACAACAGCACACAGTGGGTAACCTAGACCTGTGTCCCAAGGAACTCTCCTTGGAAGCAAAATCAGTTTAAGAAGTCCTCCACAGTCATTTATTTCTGAAGTCCATGAGGACCTCTGTTGTGTTTGTGGGACTGCACTATAAATAAGCTGAGTGTAGTGATCTCAGTGAAAAATAGCCCTGAAAAAAAGTGATTTGTTTTTCAGAAAGGCAGATTAAGAAGCATCTTTATTGCAGTGAAGAAGCCTCCTCAAGGGGACAAAATTCTGAGTTGTTAGAAGTGCTTTAGTAGAGAAGGACCCAATATAGTTGGGAGCTGAATCCAAATTAGAAACTGAGCTCAACTTCTTAATGATGTTGGTGATTATGTATTTGAAACAGTGCCAAGGAAAGTGACAGATATTCTGGGTTTTAAAGTTTTCAAATCATAACTGAGTGCCTTTCTGAGAGTTTTCTTCTAACCATATAGAACTTATTTGCTCCTTATGCATCTTATAAAATATATGCATGTTATATATGCATATATATGCAGAAATAATTGTTGGTAATTTCTATGCTTGGAAAAATAGCAGAGAGTGAACTAAAGGATCTAGTAATCACTTTTAGCCTTAAAAGCCATTAATCTGGAAAGGGTGTTTAGTTTGCTTGGCATATGATCTTCCTGAGTGCATTTCTGACATACTCAAAAAGAATCAGGCATAACTTCCCAGTGTTTGTGTCATATGTAGCCTGGATTGTTTGAAATGGTGCTGCATGCGGAATTCTTTGTCTTCAAGAATATGTTTTTTGGGTTTCATTGTTGTTTTTTTTTTTTTTTTCCCTAAGCAGATTAACTCCAGGCTTGACTGAATAAATAAATTAGAAGTTAATAGTTTCATTTTGGATAGAGTCAATAGCTAGCTGGAAACAGGATGACTGTGTCATTTGGAAAGGGATGGTTTTGTGTTCTTCCTAGTTCAGGCAGTACCCAATGAGTGGAACAAAATAAACTGTATCTCTTTAGCATTTTGATGATGCCTCCAAGAGAAGTTCTTTGGTATCTGCACACAACAGAGCTGAAATTTTCACTAAGAGGGCCTGGAAGCCAGACATCCATTAGAGCACTGGTAAATGTAAGAGATTTTAATCTCTTCTGAAAAGATACTTTTCTTACCTTCACATTACAGCTGAAATTTTAGACATTGAAGTAAATAAGACGACACTTTTTATCACATCATACTTCAGTGAGGATCATCTGAGCACAGTAGAAATGTACCTTCCAATCCAGTTTGAACAGAAGGAAAAAGATTCATGTGAGCAAATTACTGATGAAATTTTACTGATGAAATTACTTTGCACAAAATCAGCACATAAGGAGTACAACTAGAACTCATGACTGTAGAGTTGCTACTTTTATGGTGGCAGGAGATAAACAATAAAAGAATTCACAAAGAGGTTTCCTTTTTCTTAAGACTGATTAAAGCAAATAGTTTTTGAAGTATTAGACACAGCCTAACCAGTGGATCTGCTATAGGCTTTATTTCATTTTATTCAAAAGAATTGAATGAGGCTTCAAGAAATCTCTTTCCAAGTGGTCTCTGTAAAGTGCTGCATGTCACTGACCAGAGTTTTTGAGCAATGATTGTGTACACGGACCAAAGACTGTAGCTAAGTCAGAAGATACTACAGGCTGGTCAGGGATGTGTCTGACATTAGAGAAGCTGTGCTGGCACACCAGCTTCTAGCCTGAAGGAACAGTGCTGGGCTTTTCAGATACTATTCTTTTGCTGCACAGATGTGTTTCATTGTGATTGTACATATGGAGATAGAATAAACATTTTCAGACTGAGCAATTAGAAAACATTATTGATGTCTCATTTTCCTTTTGATATGAAGAGGTTGAAAATCTGCCAAAAAAAAAAAGTTTTATATTGTTTGTATTTGCATTTACATTGTATTTTTCCAAATGTGCCCCCAGTGAGGAACCTAAAAAGGGATGTTCGTCATCGGACATATCTTGAGGCCTCTTTACTTGTGAATCAAAGGCTACTGAAAGCAGCTTTCAGCTATGCTTTACATGTGCTAAGTTTCTAGGCTCCAGCTCCACAGTGCCACTTACATCACTTCTTGTAACACATTGTAGCTCCATATAGGTACAGAGGGCAGAGTCATTGATGACCATCTAATGAACAGAGTTCAGGTAAATTTAGTTATATTTTAGCTTTTTTCTGTGCTGCTGAGAGCCAAAAGAGCTCTTAAGAGCTATATTTATTTTTGTTTTAGTAGCTTGTTCAATACTAACACTACATCGAATCACACAGCTGTCTCCTGAATTTGACTGCAGTCAAGTGCTGGCTGCTGCTGCAGACTGGTAGCAAAGGTTTGTAAAAACATATTGAAGGCTGCCTGGATGCTCCTCAAAACAGAAGAGAAAATTCAGAGCAGTTGTTTTAAAAAAAAGGAATTGTTTTTTATACTACATTCCATTTCACCAAGACCGCTTGTTCTGTGCTGCTAAAATTAGATTATAAATTAATAACTTGTAGGAAGGCAATATGAAATGAAAATCAAGCCAAGAACAGCAGGATTGCATTTTTGGGTTGAAATGGCTGGCTAGGCATGCAGAAGTGTTCCAGGGAGTTCCATCATTCCCCCTTGGGCTGTTCTCAGTCTGGAGCAAGGGCTCTGCTGCCCGTGCTTGAAGAGCAGGTCAGCTCAGTAGCACAGGCTGCAGCTCTGTCCAGGGAGTCATCACACTTGTATTTCACAAAAGTTCCT